AAGGCTCTGGGGAGACCTTATAGCAGAGTTTCAGTACCTAAAGGGGGCTTATAAGAAAGATGGGGACAGACATTTTTGCAGGGCCTGTTGTGATAGGACAAGGGGTAATGGTTTTAAACTAAAAGAGGGTAGATTCAGACTAGATATAAAAAAGAAGTTTTTTTAAATGAGGGTGGTGAAGCACTGGAACAGACTGCCTAGAAAGGTCACAGATGCCCCAACCCTGCAGACATTCAAGGTCAGACTGGACTGGGCTCTGAACAACCTGATCAAGTTGAAGATGTCCCTGCTCATTTCTGTGAAACATATCAGTGAAAATGGAATGGCTTACTGATTACATTTATTACAATTTCCCATTGTAATATATAAACCCTAGCAGCTGGTCAATAAAAGGACAAAGAAGCACATTCTTGGCTCCAGGCTACTCATTTTTCAGTTCAGCATTACCTAACTGTAGATAAAGGACTTTGGTAAGATAAGAAGAATGGAGTGGGTGGACACAACAAAGAGAAATCCCAACATAGCACCCACAATTTCAAAAGCCCCACCCCACACATATAAACACAGGTGAGACAAGGCACTGCACTTTGGGATAGCACAGCAGAGTTAACAAGCTGTTCTATGCAGTTTGCTTGACTGCTTCCCAATGAGAACAGCAAGGACAGAAGTAGTAGTCACCTTAAAACTCAGTATAACTCCTTGCCTTTGCTTAAACTGGGAGGGAATGTCAGTTAAGTTCAGGAAAAGGTAAAACATTGAAGAAAGCAAGGAAACCCTTTGTGAAATATATTCATGTCAAATTTCTCATAGAGTTTTTAATCCATTAAAATGCTTTCCACCATTTTGTTTCACAGGTATTTTTTTAGTCCTCATCATGACTAATAATAAAACTACCAATATTCTTATACATAAAGGGTTTTACACAAATGTGATAATCTTGGATGTCCTGAGAGACCTAGTTACTACCATGAAATAGCCAGTGGACAAGTCTGTGATTCTAGACAGCGTTAAGACAGCCAGTGCTTCTTTTTTTTGGGGTGCTCAAATGACCAAGAAAGCCTTCTGACACAGATTTGGACAGTGAGAGTGAGACATGGAAGGTTAATTAGTTCAGTCATCATATCAGAGCCGAAGTATGTGAAGAGACTATGTTTGTCTACTTAAGACCAAGTATCCATGCTTCAAAAAACCCCAGCATATCAACATATTGAAGGTCATCCACAGCATTTATGCTTGTTCAGCAGAGTGCCCAACATGAATATAAATGAATATATAAAAATTTAAAAATAAATATATCCAGCCAGTAAATTAAGCACTAATGACATTATATCAAGCTACAAAGTAAAGAGCTTGTCTTTCCCCTTTAGAGTACAATGGTAAAACAAGTTCCCAACCACAATACATCTCCCCTTACCTAGATTAAATATCATCAGATATATTACTATCATCAGAACTCATCTTTTTTAAAGTCCACCATACCTGAATAACTTTGTCCACCTTCAGATCTTCTAGGGAAGGATAGAGAGACATTTTGATGGAATCTCACTAGGCAAAGGGAAGACTGAAAAAAAAACAAATGGGAAAGCAAACAAACAACATGGTTAGCTGTCAGATATTTACTGAGTTTACAACTTAAAAAAATTTAAAAAAGAAAAATAAACTAGACAAAGTGCCAAATAAGTGATCTGTGACTTACAAGCCAGTACTAAAGATACCTGACACTACAGATAAATTCCATTACGACTGCCCATTTAATCTGTTATCAACAGCAGGCTTTGGGTAATAGGTTTTATTTAATGTACTTATGACTGTGAAAGTTAAGTCTCAACAATGAGAAAGCTTATACAGAGAAAACCACTTCACAGGAAGCATTGCAAAGACAGACTTCAGGAGGCCAGGATGCAATAATAATGAGGGTTAAGAGGAAAAAGCTAATCTCACTCCTCCTAATTGGGGCAGTATTTTATATAAAACTGCAGAAGCTTTCCCTCTGTAATCCAAAATATCTAAACACTTTCATCAGTTCTGATATTCCAGTGATCTGGTTTAGGCTGGAATAGAGATAATGTTCTTCCCAGTAGCTGGTACAGTACTGTGTTTTGGATTTAGGATGAGAACAGTGTTGATAACACACTGATTGTTTTAGTGTAAACACTATTTAGCCACAACTAAGTCCAGGACTTTTCAGCTTCTCATGCCCTGCCAGCGAGAAAGATGGAGGGGCACAGAGTTGGGAGGAGACAGAGCCAGGACAGCTGGCCCAAACTGGCCAAAGGGATATTCCATGCCATATGGCATCATGCTCATAGATAAAGTGGGGAAGAAACAGGGCCAAAGGCCACTGCTTGTGAACTGGCTGGGCATTGGTCAGCGAGTGGTGAACAGGGGCAATGTGCATCACTCATTTTATATATTCCAACTCTGTTATTATTTTTTTTCCTTCCTTTTCTGTTCCATTAAACTATCTTTACATCAACCCATGGGTTCACTCTTTTACTCTTCTAATTCTCTCCCCCCATCCTGCTGGGGTAGGGGGATCCAGCAAGCAGCTGTGTGGCCCTTAGTTGCTGGCTGGGGTTACACCATGAGATCCAGCAAGAAGCCACTAACTGGCTTCCTATGTCCATTTGCAACACAGTAATTACAGCAAGAGACCATAAACCAGGAAGATTGAGTCAGTGGTGAGTTTCAAAACACAGAGACTCCAGGCTGGCTCTCATGTGATGTTGGGAGAGCCCTGTGACAACTTATCAGGAATTACTACAACAAAACCAAGGGGAAGAGAAACCCAAGCAAAACCAAAAAAAATAAACCACTTCACATGATTTTCTAAGCACCACACTGACATCCAGCTCTGTTAGAGCTTGTCACCTGAGGCTTCAGGAAATCCCATTTTTCCAAAGCTCTTTCACTCACACTCTCCCTGAGATCAGCTGAACTTCTGAAAACCATAACAAAACACTCCACAACAGTATATGGGAACATTTCGATAAGGGGGGTAGAGAGGGATAGAAACAGAAAACAACAAAACGTGGTACAGTTTTGCAAGTTACAGAAGGCACTGAGAACACAGTTAACGAGGAAGATTTATTAAAAGCTTTTGGTTTGGGGATTCATTTTCTCATCCAAAGAACAGAGGTCCTTATTCATGCAGCAATTTAGCAAAAATTCCAGACTAAAAGTGACCACTGCATAAATCCTTGAGCTACTGCTTCTCTAAGTGCAGATATTAAGTTGATTTTTAAGTGAACACCACACACACAGATGCCTAATGTGATATTGCAGTAACACAAAGGACATCTCTTCATATTACACTAAGCTCATCAACAGCTTTTATGCATGTTCAGCAGAGTGTCCAACAGCTCCAGTATCATCTCAAACTACAATTAAAACTTAAAAAAAGCATGCCCTAAATGTGACAGAAATCTAAACTGTGAACATGTGGACCATTATATTGTAATAATTAATTGCCACTGACATTTTTGACTAACTGATGCAACTAAACCAAACACAGTTAAAGCCTGGAAGCTTTATAAACTAAACATACACATTTAAAGCCCGTTTAAAGTTCTGTTTTAATCCAGCATTGACCTCAAACAACCAAGTGCTTTTGCTCATCCCAAATGGGTAACAGCAAACGTAAGCCCAAGCCCAGTAAACCCTGTGGTCAGGTAAGCTGTGCCTGAATGCTGCATTCCGCTGCAAACACCACTCAGACTCGACATCTTCTGTACTACAGCAGCTCTCAAAGATTCAGGTGCTGGCCCAAGCACTGGCACACATTCAAAGCCAGCACACCCCTGGCAGCAGGCAGGAAAAGAGGGCAGGCCAAGGACGGTGTGTTCCCAAAGAAGTCACCCCGTGGCAGGGCAATAAGGGACACAACAGCAGCACTTTGCAGTTGGTGATCTCCAGCATCCGCACAGCAGTAGAGAACAGCACAAGGAGTGCTGGGTCCCTGTCCCAGTGACCAACTTCCATGGTACACCCTGGCCAGCTTCAGTTCTTCTCCACAGACCAGTCTCACTCTGCACGCAATTACTGGTTACATTTGTCACAGACATGCAACTTCAACCTTCCTCTAGTTTATAGGGAGGACCAAGGTTCTTTCTGTAGAAAAGCACTAGCAAAGCTAAACATATATTAATTCTCAGATCACATATGATGACACTCCAGCAGCTTATCCCGCCACTTGACAATCCCCTCCCCAGTCAAGGGCTCACAAACCCAAGTGTCTGTCACCAAGGATCTACTGGGCTGGTTCCTTCATCATAATCTCACCTGTTCGTGGTTTTGGTTTTCCAATTAGAGAGAATAACTGCCACCATTGTAATTGCATTCAGTGAGCTCAAAACTTTGCATACGGTATTTTCAATTTCTGCAGCAGCAGTTGTAACACAAATACCTCTCGTCAGGTAATGCAAGAGCCAAAAAAAATAGTGCATTTGGTTTCAAATAAGGTTTTTAAATAACAATTGCCAGTGGTAGGGACCCCAGTAACTGCAGGAAGAACTTGCCCATGGCTTCTGTGGAGCTATGCACAGTTATAAACACGAGTTTCAGCAGGCGCTGTAACAGTTTTAGGCACTGACCACAAAAGGTGAGTCAGTACAACCTCCTTTTCTTTCAAAAATCTACAACATCAGAATCGTCTTCCTCGATCATTTCCATATTTCCATGTATTGTGAGGAGCACAAGTGTTTAGGAAAGCAAAAGTGAAAGCCAAAGGAAGAGCGTGGGGGCAAGAGGGGCTGCCATAACCCAGCTAGTGACCTGCAAAACGTGGAATTAAAGACCTCTCCCCACTTCTCAGTACCCCTGGCTGGAAAGACTGACTGCCAGTGCCAGCACCTCCCACTAAGAAGATCCTGTTTGCCAAAGGGAAGTGCCGGGCCACTGGTCGGAGACCTGTGAAACGCGTCACTCGTGACACCCTGAGCCTGCCAGCAGGAAGTCTTGAGGGTGGGAGTGATCCCGAACTGCTCTCTGTGGCGTGGCTGGGAGAAGACGGGCTCCCCGACACATTCTCCAGGTCGGAAAGCACGGAGCTGAACACAAACAACACAGGATCCTGCTGAACTCCAACCTGGCCGGCCTGTAGTGTTCGCTGTCTCTGAAAGCACCCCCAGCCAATACTGGGGAAGAGGAAAAATCAAACCAAAACAAAAAGCGCTACCCCGAGTGCTTTCCGCCTGTGGCCCGTGGAGAGATTACAGCAGGCCACAATGCCGGCACTTACATTGAACACTGGTTCCCCTTTCCAGAATTTAGAAGCTTACGAGCCCCAAAATTCGTCTTTAAAGCAGATGCAGGACAACACCTCCTGGAGGTCAGGCTGAGACATCAGGAACCAAGAAACTGTTTTGTAAGACACGTTCTCCACTAATAACTCGGTATTTCCCTCCTGATACATATCTAATTAGCCTCGAAGCAATTGTCCTCATTATCCACTCACCTCCGAAACCTGCTGCCTCCATTTCAGATCCGAAGCTGGGCCCGCCTGCCCGAAAAGGCACAGCGTATCCACCCCACCCCTGCAGCACCATCCAGCCCGTCTGAAGAGGAGTTACTACAAATGTCCGAGCCTCCGCCGAGCCTACCCTCTGCAACAACCCCGGAGCCCGAACGGGAGGTCAGAAGACGCCCCCAGACCGCGGAGGGACGCGGGGGCTTATTCACTCGCCGTTTTCCCTGTCTGCGGGCGGAGGAGCCCCTCGGGCCGGCAGAAGCCTTTCCCCCCGCCCCCGGCCGGCTGCAGGGAGCGGCGGCCCCGCAGGAGCACGACGCAGCCCCGCGGGGGCCAACACGGCCCTCGCCAGCAGAGCCGCCCCGGCACCGGCCGCCCCCTCCCCGCTCCGCCATGCCCGGCCCGCAGCCCCCCGCCCACCCCTGAGGACCGGCCGCCGCACAAAGGGCCGCGGGGACGGGCCCCCCCTTCGCCGGTCTCCGCCCTCCTTTACCTGCGGGCCGGGGGGTCGGTAGCTGCCGCTGGTCGGGGCCCTGAGCGCGGAGAGGGGCGGTGGCACCGGCTCCGAAAATCCCGGCAGCGCAGCGGTGAGCGGGGCGGGGGCGGCGGCGACGTTGGCCCGGCCCCGCGCATGCTCCGGGCCCGCGGCTGGGACTGTCTGCTGGGCTCCGGGGCCGAAGGGCGGGAGAGGGGTGGTGACGGCCTCGCTCTCCTCTGGCCGCTTGTTTCATTTAGAATCACAGAATCATCAAAGTTGTAGGAGACCTTTAAGATCATCAAGTCCAACCGCCCACCCAGCACTACCTCTGTAACCCCTAAACCACATCACGCAGCGCCAGATCCAGGCGCCTCTTGAATGCCTCCAGGGATGGTGACTCCACCACCTCCCTGGGCAACCTATTCCAGTGCCTGAACACCGTAACAGTTAAAAAAATTTTTCTAATACTTAATCTGAATATGTCTCAGGCCATCTCCCCTAGTCCTCTCACTGCAGGCACGGCAGAAGAGACCGACACCCAACCCCTCCTTTCAGGTGGCTGTAGCGAGCAATGAGGTACCTCCTGAGCCTCTTTGTCTGAGACTTACCCCTGGCTTGCTTTCTTTTTCTACTGCCTTTGCCTCAATCATTTGCTGTTATTGGTTCACAGCTGTTGTCTTTGTGGAGGAAAAAGTATAATTTTCTGCTCATTTTCCAACTTTTTTGGTTTGGTTTGGAGTTTTGCTTTGGGTTTTTGTTTGGGGGTTTTTTTTTGGGGGGGAGGGGTGGGGTGTTTCTCCTGTAATAAGGCATGCTCCACTAATCACCTCGAATCAGCTTTGGTTTTTGTGTCTGCTGTCCAGGCATGGATGTGCTGTCCAGGCAAGCTGTGACATACCAGAGCCGGGGGCAGTGTCCTGTGGTCCAGCACCTGTCTGGGCCTTCTTTCATGGGTATCTGTCAGAAGCCACGCTGTCCTCCTAGAGAGGCTCCCCTGGAGAAACCATGATGTAAATTGTACCAGCAACAGGGAAATCCCAAAACAAGCTTGGAAAAAGGCTTTCATAAGTCAATTACCATAATTATTCCCCATTTGCCTTATTTAGAGCATGAACTTCTCTAGCGTCAATTTTCAGTCTTTAAAATCCTTCTTCATTACGATTCTTTACCTGTTGTCAAATCTTGTTCATCAGATAGATAATTAAATGTGCTGAGTGCCTTAGAGCTTCTCTTCACCTAAGAAACCAGAGTGTTTAGTAGACGAGTTTAGCAGTCCTCCAGCACCTAGAAAGGAGGTCTGCTCCCACCTCAGTCTCTTTCTCCTGTCCTCAGCCAGTCCCAGCAGCTGTTGAGCTCTTCTGAGGGAGTACTTAACTCATTGCCCCAGCAGAAATGAAATCCACCAGAAAACATTAATGTTTTTCTGCTAATTAGTGAGCCAAACTAGCAACAAAAAGATCTCTCAAGCACCAGCATGAGCCAGCTCAAGGGAGTGTGTAGCTGGAAACAGGAGAAAGGTGGAGAAGGAGGGAGGAGAAGTGGATTCCCTTCATTGTAGCACTAACAGGCTGTTTCATCATTAGAACTGCCTGCACAATCATAAACAGAGATTTTGTTGCAATGTATATTTTTCAGTTCTTGGACCTCTCCAGTCGCCAGCATCTTTGGTGAGCACCACAGGAGTGCACAGGATTGGGGTAGCAGCCACAGCAGCGCTGAATACGGAGGATCAGCAACTCTCTGGCTGCTAAGAAGGCTCCTGTGTCTATATCCAACGATCAGCCAGGCCTGAAACCTTCTTGTATGCCAGTGCCTGAACTCACAGCTACTGAGTCATGCAACTACAGATCATTAAATATATATGAAGTGAAATTTTGGGCTTAGGGTATAAGTTCACAAAAATCCTGTGTTACGTGTCTTCTGGGCCAGGAGGGAGGGAGGGAGGGAATCTAGCTCTGGTTTAATAATGATAGATGATTACTGCTTTTGAAGTGCTAAATTGTCTACACAGCCAAAAGACTTTTTTAACATAAGTGCAGTTAAAGGTTTAAAACTGTATGCTCACACCAAGAGTCTAACCCTTCATCCTGCGATGAGCTCGGTGCGGTGAAGCCCTGTATTCACCCTGGAGAATCGAGAGTACTGTACGGTACATAAGGCATGGAAATTGAAGATGTGTGATTGATAGTTTTCCAGGTAGTGCAGTTCTGCTGGGTGCCAGCACAGATAACTGAAGGGCAATGTTTTGTTTTGATGTTGCATGCTCTTCTCATTGCAAAGACCTTTCTTCTCTCCAGAAAACTAGGTCATTATTTGCTGTTTTCTGCATTACTTTATCTCTTGTCTTGGTCTTTCAAGACAACTCACTATTATCCAGGTAGCAGCCTTTGTCAGTGGATGTCAGACCTGCATTGTTGAGGCACCGTCCCTGATTTTACCCTCAAGACTGTGATGGATGTTCATTTTCTTTATGATGATGTCCTAGCCTAAACACTTGGTTCCATATAGTCTATTACTTTTTGGGCATAATGTGTGTGCACTATTATAGATACGTAATCTAAGAACAAGCAAAGTCCAGGTTAAGGGCATCTGTTGTTTAAAAGAAGTGGAACAAATGGCCAAGTTATCAGATTTTGCTTGTTGAAATGGGCAATAGTATGATAATTTTCCATTGTCAGTGTACTGTTTGTGGGTTTTTTACTGGTCTAGTGCCAGCTTTCAAAGAATAATAGAAACCACCTACTGATCGATATCAGTCTCAGCTATTGCGAAATTCTTAATAAATGGTTGTTACCCAAAAATTTGCATTTCTCTTTTGAAGCTGGAAACAGGTTGTGCTTTTGTTTTTTAGGAAGCTCTCCACCCCTTCAACAATGAGACATTATCAATGGTCACTCAAAACATGTATAAATTGTGCAAGATAGCACCCTGTCAGCAATGGAAACAGAATAATTTTATTAAAGTAGTTCCAAACGTGGGGTAGTTATGAAGGAGTTAATGGGTCCTGCCCTAAGCCAGGTGCAAGGAGCGTCCCGACTGTATTTCTAGAATAAACCCACCCCAAACCAGCTTAAGTAACTGTGGTGCTGCATTGCACTGAGCTGTGCTGATATGCCTCTAGACTTTGTGAAAAAGAATTTTTGGAGTTTACATATAGAAACAAGAATTTCAGCATAAAACCCTATTATGCAGAAGAAATTAAATTCCAGAAGCTTTGCCCCAGTAAAGTACTCAGTATTAGAAACTGCTGGGTCACTTTGGTTCTGATTCTCTGTTCATATTTTTTTTTGATCCTGCCTTTTAAATGCATTATAACATAATACTTTCATCGTACCTTCCTCAGCCCACAGGGTGGATGGTGCTTACTGAGTGTATGATTTTCCAGTGTTCAGCTGGCAGTTTCATGCCTAATTTCCTGTCTACTATTCAAACTCCACTCTAAAGATGGAAATACTAATGTTTTCACCATCTTTTCTAAGTAACACCCTAACGTCTGACTACTGTGCAAACAATTGTTCATTTATTTTCTGTCATAATTCCTGGGATACAGACAGGGAATTCAGGCACTTAAGTTGAATATGTGCATAACGCATTATTCTGAGCTCTCAGTTCTACAAAACTTTGTCTCATGTTTGTGAGAATACAGTAGATATTTTGTTAAATCACCACCTTCCTGACTTCACTCAATGTTGTGTGTGCCCAACATTTCTGCAGATTAGACCTAGAGCCTCTGTGAGGCAAATGGAAAATGACCAAAACACAGGAACCACTTGTGGAGAGCCTGGCAAGAGGACTTATTTGTCACTTCAGGAGAGCTCTGTGTCAGAGGTGAGAACAGCACCCAACTTCATAGCCTGACAGTCCAGGGTGTGAGCAGTAGGACATTCCTCTCTCCTCCTCAGTCATCAGACACCTTCAAACCTTTATAACAGGTGAAGCAGAGGCCCTGCAGAAAAGACGCTCCTTCATGAAAGACCCTGAGTCAGTCCTAGGAGAGAGGAGACAGAAAAGAGAGCCAAGGAAGGGGTGGATATGAGCTCTATACAGGCGAGGAGGAAGGAGTGACTGTGCTCTTCCTGTGCCTGATCCACAACAGATATTTTGCTGGGAAGAACTTAAATAACCCGAACAGCTCTTTCCTATCTCTG